ATTTGAACTATTTATTCATCAAAGACTCTCAAAAATCAATTTAATAAATTACAAATTTATAAAAATGTATTTCAAGGCGTTTACATGGGATATATACTTCATTTTCGTATAGGGGGGCCAACTTGCCCCGACCATGGGGCCAACTTGCATACGTAGCTTAGTTCATAGGGCTTACTTTGAAACCGGTTTTGTTACTCTAAGCCATTCCTAGTTGGCTCTACAAGGCCAAAAGTGTCTGACTGGGCCAACTAGCCCCGGTCTCCCCTATGTATGATTCGTACTTGAATGTTGTCTACGTTGTTGGACTTTTAACGTTTTGCTAACATATGACGTTTGAAATCTGGCAAAATAATTCATCTCTTGCAGCGGCTAAACAAAACTGCTAGAGGATGACTTTTAAATTAAAACATTGGGTCTCAATTTTGTATGTTAAAGGCGCCGTTGCAATAGGCTTTTTGAAAAAAAGTGAAAGAAATATTTCGTTTTTCACACATTGTATTTATTTCTTATTTCATTTTTTCCATGACCTGTAAAATTAGACTGATAACTAAAATAAATGGAATGATGCTCCCAACTCCTACAAAATAAACAACGTAAACTTACACAAGTATAAACCTATTTTATTCCTTGCGTTCAATGTATGAATATATACAAAGAAAGGAAAATATCTCCTCAAGATTGTTTGTGATTTGTACAAAGAATTTTGCACTTTAAATGAATTACACAAACTGCATGCGTTAAGTGAAAGCGTGAAAATACTGAAAACACTTTTTTCAAAAGTTCCCCCTTTCTTTGAAATTACTGGCTACAGGTCTGGGTTCTTACAGGATGACATTGTATGACACTGGGATTCAATCCAAACATTGATATTTTAACTTGAAAGGGTTGCTCTTGGGACTGGTTCTCTTTGATAAGATACATGTACCAATCCAGCTTGGAAACTTCTTGTTTTGATGAAATATTTTTAGTTTTCATGGGCGTGTATGCCTTGTTTTGGAATTGTTTCATTTGTTTTTAATGTTAAAATCAAAGTTAGCTAACTTCAAAATGGCCGTCGGTAACTTATTCATGTTTTTACTTTACCAGAAAAATATTGGTTTTAGAAACAAAAAGCAATCTCTTTTATAAAAGCTACTGACAATTTTTTAGAACATGTGTAACATGCCTCACAACATTAAACTTTTCAGAACAGCTGTTATACCCACATTGTAGTTTTTGACATTTTAAAGTAAAATGTCAATATTTGTCAACTGTATTGGCCATCAAGATTTTCTGATCTTGATTCAACTGTTCTAAAAACTTAAAAATTGATTAGTGAAAATCGTCCTGTTTGTCATATTGAAGGATTAAATAAAGGGTCCTCGTTACGAACAAACAAAAATAAAGATATTTTCATGGGCAGAACGCTGCTGTAACATCTTTAACCTCTTTAACGCTTTTCTTTACTACACCCCAAAATTTGCCACATCGCTAACCTTACGTTCCGATTTAGAACGCCATAGATAAAAGGGTTTAGTCCGGACCCAATTCGAAAGATCAGTGTAGCAATGTATTGCGCTACTATATACTCGACATCATATTCATCGTTCTGCCAAGTCCAGA